GTTTTATTCCATTTGAAAATGAAAAAATCCTGCTTCAAACTCAATGAACTTCGCTAAAGCAAAATGCTTCAGCCTGAAAATGCTGAAGTGAAACTTTTTAATGTTTGAGGAAGGAAAGAAGGACTTTTCTTTTCTTGTCATTGAATTACTTCAGCTCAGATTTGTGAATCATTTCGGTTGCCTTCATTTTTGCAGGAGACTTTGTTTTTTTAACAAATTCAATACTCTCCCAAGAAAATATTCCCAGTTCAATCTGAGGCACAAATGTTTAAGTCCAGTGAGGTTCATAAGAGCATGGGTGAGCTGAGAGATTGCACAAATGTCAAGCAGAACTCTTTTTTTTTTTTGCTGCATTTTCCTTTGCATCTTAGGTTTTCTTTGAAATTCTGCCTGAATTTCAGGGAACCTGTGGTGTCCTTAGGACCAGCCACCCCTGAAACATGCCCAGAGCAAAACTGTCAGTCCGTATATTCTGCCATCTAACCTGTGCACCACAAAAATTCAAATGCCATCTTCAGTTCTGCAAAATATTAAGACAGGCATTTAAGATTTAGCCGAGTGATTAAGTGTGAGCAGCATATAATTGTTTCCAGATTCCTCTCCTAGCAGGGGAAAAGGCTCCGCAATTCCTGTCCGTGTGCTCAGTGTAGTAATGCAGTCGCAAACAGAGGAGCTGAAGATGAGCCAGAGGACAAGCAGATATCCTGAATTCTGCAGCGGAGAACGAGCCGAGCTGGCATTACCTTTTGGTCCGATACGGACTGAACCGGTTCGGAAAAGCAGGGTTATTTAGCCAGCAGGATATATCTGTATCATTCCTGTAGCAGCACCTGTGCACTAGCAACTAGAAAACCCTCTTAAGTACACGTGGTGAGATTCAGTCTGCAATTTTTCATCTGGCTTGTGAGTGTTAAATGAAGGTTGACTGTTGGAATCAGCCTCATTTGGAGGAAGCTGACTGTGTCTGAGCTTGCAGAGGGGACCTTTGTCCTCCCGAGTTTATACAGAGCCCCAAAGATTGCAGATTTTCTGCATACGCCACAGGACAACCCAGCAAGCATCTGGAGAGACTTGCCTCGTATCCCAAACTGTTCCCTTCAGGCAAATCTAGCAATATATTTTTCCCACGCATTGCTTAGTCATGAAAAGAGATTTTTTTTTTTCCCCAAAACTTGCTCAGGGCTTCAAAAACCTCAGCAGCCCCATCCCACATTCGAAAGCAAAATCAAGGGTCCGCCATTGCCTTTGAACACAGCAGGGCTCTGCTCCGGCAGGTTAGATCTCAGGGGCCACATTGCTCCCAGGATTTAAACCAGACCACATGTGAAATGGCAGCTCCCTCTTCATTTTTATATTTTTTAATAGGATAATTTAGGGGCTATATATTATTATTGTTGTTGTTGTTGTTCTTGTTGTTGTTGTTATTATTACAATTTTAATAGCAAATCCAATGTGCTGCTTTCCCTCCTTAATGAAGGACACCAGGGACTGTTGCTCAACTTCTTTCGCTCTTTAGAAATAGCTAATAGCCCCTACAAATCTTTTGTAAAACAAAACCATAATCCCACTTTCCCCTTTCCTCTTCCTCCAGAGAGAGAAAGGGGGCTTTCATCAGCTCACACCATTCTTCTTTCACTACCTCTTTATCTTAAGCTTTTCTCCAAGGTTACACTTATTTTCGAGGTGCACGGTCAGGACAAGGATAGAGGGGGTACAGCTAACTTGGTCTTTTGAGGGTTGTCCTCTCTGCGGTGGGGTGTCCCTGCCCTCAGACAGCCCAGCCCGCTGCCCAGTATGCCCAGCTAGGCTCTTCGGCAGCGGCTGTCATTGCCGCCCGTCAGGGACCATTCGTGTGCAGCCAGAGACGACTGCTGCGCTCGGACCGCTCAGAACAACGTTCTCCCTTCCTGCTGCAGCCCAGGCACATCTGGAGATTTCTCTGAAGCTCTCCGCGTTCGACCCCGGGGCTGGAAACGTGTCTGTTCTCTCTCCCCGCCAGGACGCTGCCTGTCTCTCTGTGAGCTGAATTCACCGTACGATGGTCCATGCCATCCCTTCTTGTGCAAACCCCTGTGAGAAGGGTCTTCTTCCAGTGTGGAAATCTTGGCCAATTCCTGGAGGAGATTACCTCAGATAAGGCTGCTGCTGGGGAGGGAGGTTCACCGCCCTCGGTGGAAACTTGTAAGGTCTGGCCTTCATCCAGATGTGATTTTATTTTTTTTAAATTTGAGCAAAAGCGCTTCGGTCTTTACAACGTGAGAGAGGAGTGAAAAAACACATTTCTGCCATTATAGCGAAGGGAAAGAAAAAAAAAAGCCATTCAGGCTGCCTTTGAGGAGCAAATGGGATTCTCTTGTTTAGCTCGGACAAGAGGAGGTCTGCCAGCAGAAGGTGTCTCCGAGGGCTTCAGCGAAGGCGGGGTTGGGCGCGGGGCGGTGTCTGCCGTCTGCTCCCGCGCCCGGCAGCCAGCGTAGCGGGCCTCCA